TGTAGACAGACCCTGAGACGGAATCCCCCAGGTAAGGGATTGGGCTGCCAACGTCCACTTAGAGATAGGAGGATGTTCACCTGCTGCGTCCGCACCCTCAGCTGCCCACACCCCTTAACCCCAGTTCCTATGCCTTTGCTTAGATATCCAGGTACCTAAGCTGTTGCAGGTGGTGTGGCACTTTGCTAGTGCTGATGTCCCTCAAATTTCAAAGTCCACCTCCACACTATCCTAACTGGCCATCTTATATGGATAAAGATGAATCTCAGGCCCTGTGACAATAGGACGGGGACCGAGTTGATCTTTTTTCCATCAGTAGAGATGGTAGATGCAGGGTTAACTGATGCTTTTGCAGTGGTTTGAATTAGGAAAATGGTTGAAGACATTGCTTAATGGCTTTTTATTCCCACCTCATGTGACACTTGGTAGATGCTTCAGGAAAGCTGATAGAATGTTGAAGATACAGAGGGGAGAGGGCATGCAGTGCAGATACAAATGTTTTTCCATATGCAAAGCAAGCAGGCAGAGATGGTGCTGGCCCCAAACATTAGCCTCCTTAACATTGTCCTCTCTACCCAACTGGACTTAGAAAATGTTTGTAGGCCCGGTAAACATAGATTTCCTTATCTGTTTAACTCATTTATTTATTGATGTGAGTTGACTAGGAATCATTTTGTTCTCTTATGTTTGCTGGAATCATGGAGGTCCTTTGGAGTCCCAACTTTCTGAGAGTGGAGACCACATCTGTTCAATTTGCTTTGGATGGTGTCCGGCAAAGAGCTTCAGTGCAATGTCACAGGGAAGCCCTGGACTTGGACCCTGGAGATCTAGGTTTTAGTTCTGGCCAAATGACCCTTCAAATCCAGATCTCAGTTTCATTTTGTTGAAAATAAGTAGTGGGAGCAACCTTTTCTGCCCTTCCTACCTCCTAGTATTGAGGGAAGGATTAAATGGAGTAATGCGGAAGAGGGGTCTGTAGAAACTGTCACATAATTATGGGTTTTAAAAAATTTCAAAATGCGTTTTGATGATAAGGATACCAGAATAATCAAAATCCAAACTCTAAGATGCTTCAAACAGAGAAGCTGATGGACAGAGACCACAGCCGTAGGGAGCTGTGAACCACACGATGCGCCCAGGTCATGCTACAGCTAAAGCCAAGTTTGAGACCCAAATGGCACTGGCTATCCCAATAGCCTCCCTTATGTCCATCCCCAGGGCGACACAGCTGCAGTCACATCACGGGCCTTTTAGTGCATCCTTTTTTCTCTCTAGGGGATCTGGCATTTATTTTAACTTCTCACTAGAATGCAAGTCGGGGTGGTGGGAGGTGAGGGGCACAGAGTGAAGGTGCCCAGGGCGTAGATCCTCTGAGATGTATACACATGCACACACAAGTGCACGTACGCATCCAAGCTCCATGATAGAAAAGTCAAAAGTTCGGCTTTCTTAGCTGCCTCTAAACACTGTCATTTAGAGATATGAAAAAAAAAGTGAATAAAAAAGCAGAGTCCAAGACAGCTTTATCCATTTTGTAAAAGGGGCAGTTGCCTGTAAGAAGGGCTTAGAGATGAGAATTGAGTTGTAATTCTTAGGAAGGGAATAGAATTACAAGGTATTAATGAACACGGTCAGCTTTCTAGAGTAGAATCCTAGGTATCCAATCTGGAAGACTCTAAGAGCCATATAATCCCCTCTTTTTACCAAGCTTAAAAGGTGAAGTGAATGAGCAAAGGTCACAACACTAAAGTATGAGAGCCGAGGAGACCACGACTGGGGATCTGGCTCCAAGTCTGGTGCGGTTGGAAAAGGTTCTATTAGTTAATGCTTGGGCAGGATGCCACAGCCACTGCCCCTGTAGAAGTACAGGTGGTAAGAACTGCGACTGATTAGGGGCACATCCGTGGCAACTTAGGGAGCAAAGAAATGCAATGAACAGGGAGTTTGTACCAAGCCACCCAGCTCACCTTATGGAAACCAGATAGCTCTGCTGCTGTTTAAATGAAATCTTTGAAGGTTTTCAGAACTGTCAAAACATACAGAACTTTTTACTAATACTTTTTAATTTTAAAAAAAGATGGGTTCTGCTGGTTTCTGACCACTGCCTTAATGAGAATGTTAGTGAAGAACTCTACCCAAGGCCAGGAAACCAGGGCGACCAAAGCCTGACCTCCAGTAATGCCAGGTGAGGGTGCTGGATGCTGTCTGCCATGACCACTAAGCGGCAGTGCCAGCAGCTGAAGAAGGGATGCCCTGAAACTCGTAGTCCGACTAGGAGCAGATGCCCTCTTCGTTTGACATGTTGAGTGATGACAGCTGGTTGGCAGCCCCTTTCGTTTGGTAAGTTTGTGAAGCAGATGAGTTAAGAGAGAGCAGAGGGTCCTGGCTGCGTGGCTCATTTTGTTGGAGCATTGCTCTGTACACCAAAAGGTTGCAAGTTTGATCCCTGGTCGGGACACATACCTAGGTTGTGGGTTTGATCCCCAGTTGGGGTGCCAGTGGGAGGCAACTGAAATCTGCCTGTCTGCCTGTCTGTCTCTCTCTCCCTTCAGACTCTCTCTCTAAAATCAATAAGCATATCCTCTGGTAAGAATTTAATAAAAGAAAAAAAGAAGCTCAACCTGTATTCACACCACAATTTAAAAAAGAGAGAGAGAGAACGTGCGCAGAGGCACTGAGATTTCCTTACTAGCCCTGAGGGCCAAGGCCTTCCAAAGCACCAGACACCAAGGGGCAAGCCCCAGGGTCCTGGAGAGAGAAAGAGGAAATTAAAATTGAATAAAGGACATGTGGATGTAGAACTGAATATTAGAATCACCCTCCATCAAATGCCAAGGCTACCTGTTCTTACTCTACAGGAATATGTAGCAGTTTCAGTGGGCCTGTCAAACCCTCTGAAAGAGCAGCACACTGGAAGCCACAAACTGGGTCTTGTTCTGACTCCATTGTTTACTGGGCTGGGTGACTTTGGCTGAGCTATTAAACATTCCTTGGCCTGAATTTTCTTCATTGGGAATAATACCTGTCCTGCCTGCCTCACAGGGTTGCTGGAAGATCTTATGAGATAATGAACCTGACCTCCCTGAAAAAAAACCATAACGCGCTCCTCAAACAGAAGGTAATAATATTACTGTTTTCACTACTAGGGGCCTTTCTGAGGGTTGGTCAGTTATAGAGACTGGAAGGCCACCTTGTTCCTTTAGCTGTCACCCTGCGTCCCTCCTCCTCCAGGCAGGAGAGCCCTGTGGGGAAGGGATCAAGTATCCTCGAAAGAAAGCTAAACATCTCAGTCAGATGTTCTGGGCTCACCAGCCCCTACAGTTGCCAAGTTCTTCCTTGCATTGGCTCTAAGTCTGTCATTTTAATACTCATGCTTATTTCTTCCTGTTCTGCTTGAAGATTTTCTCTACCTGCTGAAACATGATGTCATTTTTAGTGTTTATCCACTATTGAAGAACATGACCCAAAGTTGCCAAATTACCATCCCTGGAGTCCGAAGTCCAAGTGTATTAAAAACCAAGCATCTGTTTCTGGAAGGGACCTTGAATCCCTTTATTTATAAAGTTTCAATCTCTTCCCTAATCTTGTACCAAACTCGGGTCATTTTTACATCCTACAATATTTTTTTTTAGTAGTGTATTATTTTTGGGAGAAGTGGCTGCATCTGTATTAAGAATGTGTAGAGAGGGCAGCCTTAATGGAAGAACATTTGTTAAGTGTGCTTTTAATAATGGAGAGGATAAGGAGTTGTAATTAGGATAAGATTTGGAAAACATCAAGGAAGTTTGGATCATGGCGAGAAAAGGTCAATGAGATCCGGCCAGTTGCTCTCTTGGGACTTCTCCACCCTTGCCTCCTTCATTTCACCTCTCTGTACTCCTAACACTCAATTATGGACACCCTCTCTTGGCTCTGAACTTGGATAAATGCTACATCGTTAGCTAAGAGTACTATTAATTATATTACTGATTAATAGGTAATTAGTCATAAAGCTGTAATACTTACAATGGAGGCTCTTTTTCTTGCAGCAGCTCTGTCTCAAGCGAACACATACCCTTCCCTAGTCCTGGCCACCTAACTAGCGCAGCTCTCAAATTGTTTTTCAGACCACTCTGGTAATCTCTAAATTTCTCCAGTTTTTATTAGCTGTCTCATTCATCTGGCCAATGGCCACACTGCTTATATTTTGCCTCCTTTATTTCTCTCCTCTGTCACACAGCCCTCCTGTAACAAGGAGGCCACAGTCAAGATTTTTTTTTTTACTTTATTTCATGAACCAAAGGCTCTTTTACTTCTAAATTTCACTTGGGCCCACTTTTCTCCTTTGGCCCCCCTTACTCCGCTTCACCTTTCCCCAGCCCTAACCCTCTTATTTCGTGGAGTCCCACACCCCCTGCCCAAACCTCCCTCCCACTCGACGTTCTGGCTTCCTTCAGCAACCACGCCCCCAGACCCTGGGAGAGCGGTGCGCACGCGCAGTCCACGCCTTTACCTGTGCGCTCTGGAGTGGGCGGAGTGGGGGAAGGCGGGGGTGGAGCGGGAGTCGGCGGTTATCTGGGCGGTGGAGCGCTCACAATGTGGCAGGAGAGAGAAAAGGTGCACTAGGGACAGCCCCAGGGGCTGCGCATGCGCCCGCCGCGCCCAGTGGCCGGGATGCCAGGGGGGCGGGCGGAGGGAGGTGTCGGGATCCCTGTAGGGCGGGGGGGCCGACGAGGGAAGGGGCCGCGGGCGCGCGCGCGCTCTCGCCGCCTCTTTCCCTTCCTCCCTGCCCCCCTCTCCGAACACATCCACACGCGCACACCCCCTCCCCTCCCTCCCCGCGCGCCGCCCGCCCCGCCGGCCCCGCTCGCCCTCGCGCGCTCGGAAGGGAGTCGCGAGACGTCGGAGCGGCGGCCACGTAGCGCTGCGGCGGCGGCGGCGGCGGCGGCGGCCGAGGCCGGGTCTGCGGAGCGGCCCTGAGGACAGACGTTGGGCGGGGGGGAGGGGCTGGCCCGGCCGGCGGTTGTTACTCGAGCACCGCGGCTACAGGCCCCCCGCCGCAGGATGGACCGCCGAGGCGGCGGTCGGGGCGGCGGAGGCGGAGGCGGCCGGCCCGGGTGAGTAGGGGCCCCAGCCCCCCCACGCACACCACAGTCGCGGCTTCGCCCCTTGCAGACGCTCGCATGACCGGCCGGGGCTCTGGGCGCCGGGTTAACCCTTCGCGTAGGCAGCTGCGTGCACTAGGCCGGAGCAGCCCCCATCCTGCTGGGAGGCCTGGGGAGCTGCGCTCTTCTGGCTCCGCGCTTGGGCCGGGGGCGCCTGCTTCTGCCTCTTCCCTTCCTCCCTCCCGGACCCAGTCTCGGCTGCAGTTTTAGAGTCTACTGGCCCCGAGGCCCGAGGGGAGGCTGGGTCTGCACGGGTTAGCGGGCCGAAGGGAGGTTTGCACCAGTCCTCTTGCGAACATTCTACTACCCAGCAGCTGGTGGTTTGCACCCACTGCCTTCCCCGCCCTGCGGTTGCGCCCAGATCTCCAACCCCCGGGGAGTATTGTGCCGCCCGAGATAAAATGCATATAGTATACAGCCGCCCAACACTCACCCTAGAAGGTAGTGCAGACCTTTCTCCACCCCCCCCCCCCCCCGCTACCTCCCCTCCAATCAGGCTTTACTAAAGATTCTTAGATGGGAGACACTGAAGGTAGTAACACCCCTGTTACATGGGCACATAACATGTTCATTGTCGAAGGATGTCTCCTGTAGAAATGATAAATGCCCCTGCCTCACCGTCCAAGTCTGCCTTGACAATTTAAGATCCCATATGCTCTTCTTTGAAGAGGGCCAGTCTTTGATCACATCTAGTACATCCCTCCCCCACCACACACACACACACACACACACACACTCACACACACTCACACACACTCACTCACTCACTCACACTCTTCCTGATTGCTGAGCAGCCACTGTCAACGCGATCCATTGTCAGGAGTGGCTTGTGCCAATCAAAGGAATGTGCTTTTGCCTTTGGAGAAGGGTGATTTCCACAACCATGTTCCTCCGTGAGTCTGTCTTCGATTGATCCCGCGCTCAGGCAACATTATTATAGTGTTTGTCTTATATGCGTCTCCTGTACACCCTCAGTGCTACCTGAGTGATGCTTTTTCCCAGTTAATTAGATACATATGGTGTGGGGATTTCTTCTATTTTGTTGTAATGTTCAACATCTACTGTCAACGCATAGTAAATAAGTAAGGTAATATTTTGTGAGGAATGTGTATTTTTTCCCCCAGAGATGACCAGGCCGGTATTGTTCTGGGAATGGTAACTAGCACATGCTTTGTTGACAACATGTGTGTGCTTAGAGAATGAAGAGCTGCTGTGTCTGGCATGTGTGAATGTGTGTGCTGAATGCAGGTGGTGTTCCCATGTAAAATGACTGGAGAGTGGCGAGCTGCACTGTGATCCTCAGAGCGGCCAGGCAGCTTGGTTGTTTGTATCAGGATTGTGCACATGTATTCCGATAGATGCTACTTTTAGTATAATTTTGTTTTAAATGTTTACTGCTGAGTTTGCTTTAATCTGGAAATGTCAACTTTAGTGGTTCTTAACCTTTCTTTGGGATCACTGAAGCCTTTGGGGTCCTCTTAGTAAAACAGACACATAATTTTGCATGTAATTACAGTCATCTTGGAGCAGGTCCTGGGACCTCAGGTTAAGATCTGTATTACGCAAAAGTGAAAGGAACTTGAGTTATGTAGTGTTTTCGTTTTTTGCTTTTGTTTGTTTTTCTTAAGGGTTGACATGACTTTGGTCCTGAGCAATAAGCAGCAACGTCGATTATAAAGACGTATGTGTCCTTCCTTATGTTTTGTTATTTTATTACAGTGAGTTAGATATTTGTAAGGTATCATTTCTGTCTTGTTTCAGAAAAAGTTAAAACTGGAGTCAAAATAATTTGTCTAAATTTGACCAGTTGATAATGTATGTTCCTTGCACTATAATCTAAAGGTAGCAGATTTCACCAGCAGAGTCAGTGGTCCGTTTTATGATGCCTCTCCAGAATCTTTATATATAGTTGGTTGAGGTTGATTTGATCTCTTCAAAGAAGGCTTTATCACTCCTATAGTAGAGCACCTGCTCCATGAAGATGTTTTCAACTTTATTAAATATGATTTAATATCTTTATTCAGAGTGACATTGCCATGAGAATCACCCATTTTTAAATTTTGTTTTAATGGAGAGGTTTTAATTGTGCTTATGGAGTACAACCTCCAGTTTTAAAGTGTAGACATAGGGATGAACATTTTGCACCGTTCTATCAATAAGCAAAGGAGAACTGTCAACTACTCTTGTTTACATCACTTTGCACGGAGGCTCTGCATTTTGATCATATTTCAATCAAAAGACATTTATTACAGCTTCGTGATATGTTGTGACTGGTGATGACATTTAAAAAGCCCAGTCTCTAGTTCTCCAGGAGCTTAGGATTTTGACAATCTTTCTCACTTAAAGAATCCTTTTCGCCCTGACCAGTGTGCCTCAGTGGGCTGAGCGTCATTACGCAAAGCAAAAGGTAGCTGGTTGGATTCCTGGCCTGGGCCTGCGCCTGGGCTGCAGTCTGTCCCTGGTCAGGGTGCGGTCAGGCATGCACGAGAGGTGACCAATTGAAGTTTCTCTCCTCCTCTTTCTCCCTCCTTTCCCCTCTCTTTAAAAATAAATAAATAAAATCTTTCAAAAATCCTTTGGGACCCTAATATTTTTTTGTATTTTGAGGGTTCTGAGAGGCAAAGGAATTCATGGTAATAACAGCTTTTTGGAAGGAAACGGAACCTTGGAATCTTGCATATGACCTGTTCCACATACCTGAACAGTAGCATTTATTCTAATAATTATGCCGTGTACCCGAAGAAGTTTGAAAGCATGCTGAGATTGCAAATATCGCAATTTTTATGACCTAATAAACATGCTTGAAGTGCCTCATATTACAGGTTTTAATTTTTGTTCATGTCAAGCATCAAGTTTTACTGTCAGAAATTATTTGCCTATCCCGAATGCAAACCATTTCAAAGTTGCAAATATGTCACTTTTCTTTGTCAGCATAGTATAGTGACAGATCATTAAAATCTCAGGACAAGGTGCTTCCTTGATTTTAATATGGCAGAACCTCTTCTAACCAGTCACTTACCCGGTTAAACACCCACATGCCACAGAGCAGCTGATCACATCACACGTATGGCTGTGAGAACAGCATTCTCCCTGCCAGATTCAGAGCTTGGGAGCTGGAAAACAATTGGATAGCAGTGAAACACTTCGGGAGTAGTGGTGCCAGCAGCTCACTCATTAATACAAACAGCTTGCTTTAGTTTCTTCAACACTCTTCTTCAGACACCCTTCCCTTAGGAGGTTTCAGATCAGCAGCTCCTACTCAAGGGAAACAGCACCTACTTTCTGCAACTGTGGCCTCAAGATCTGATTCATGACACCCAGAGCTGTTTTCATTTCTGCTCTAAGTATGGGAAATAATCTGGTAGTGTGGTAAGAAAATACTTTTCAAGTCTGTAGACAAAAAAGTTGATTAGTAATGCTACTGATGTGATTGTGTTTTTCACATCTGAAGGCTATATAGAAGAAGTAAACTAGAAGAGTGAACTGTTAAAAAACCCTTTTCTAAGAGGTTTTAGATAATTTAACAAAAAATGTGAATATACTCTCGAGTTTCATTTCCCTTGTTCTAAAAAGTCAGTTGAGAGACAGCCAACAATACAACAACGGCAACAGAAACCCTGTGGATTATCTTGTGTTTTGAACCATAGCCTTTAGAACTAGGTATCCTAAAGGAGGTGACTGCATTTCCTTGCTGGGTCTTGTGCTACGGTTTTAGCTATGATAATTTTCTCGTCTACTTGACATCGTTTCCATCAGTTAGCACTTGAATTTACTTTGGTAGAGGTGAACTGGTGTTGTAGTTAGTGACTTCAGCTGAAGGAGGAGCAGGGAGATGCTTCTTTGGAGCCAGGCAGAACTGGGTTTGAATCCCAGCTCCACCGTTTACTGGCTTTTTGGCTTTGGGCAAGTCACCCAGACCTCTCTGGTCTCAGTGTCCTCATCAGCAGAATGGAATTTGTTATGAGAATTAGAGAGAGAGAATATATACAAACTTCTAGCACAGTTCCTGGCACTTGTAGTAAGGACTAAATAAATGGTGTGGCACGTTGATGTGGAGTGCAACTACAGATCATTTTGGCTTTTAAGATTTAGAAGTCTGGTGCTGCAAGCTGCATACTTTCGTTTGTGCAGATTTGGGATGAAAAAGTTGCAAATATTTATCTTGGAGCGTACCTAAGTCTTGCAGGTGCAGTATGCTTATTGGAACTTTGATCTGTTGCTCTATGACTGACTGAACTTGGTAGAGACAATAAAACTTGGCTCTAAATTCTATAGTGTTACCCACAGGCTGTGCTTGTTTTAAGCCTATTCAGAGCTTATATGGTAAAAGGAGTATTTTAGGACATAATGTATCTCAATGAGCGCTGTGTCCTGAGTCGAATCACATGCAAAGCCTTGTGTAAATTCTCATGGTTAATGCAAGCTATAAAGGGCTTGGTAGAAGCAGTGAAGACATCAGATGCTTATTTTAGTTAATCTGTTTGTTTATATAGCAGTTATCTTTGATTTTTACAAACACTGAACGTTTTCGCTTAAAGAATTCCTATTGCTCTTCTGAGGTTTTGATTATAAATTGTTACTAGTTATAGGTTTGAGAACCTTAGGCATTTTTGCTTTGATGAGAGAAGGAAAGAAAAGTAAGATCCCTTTACCTATCAAATTTATCTACTCTCCACTTTAGGCCTATTGCTATGGATTGTGTGTGTAGTTCCTAGCCTTGTTTTTAACCAAAAAGGCAGTTTTATGGTAAGCTATGACATCATCTTTTTCTTTTTTTAAGGAGATTAAGAGATTGATTACTTTGAAAAGTAGATTCAAGGGCATGGATAGAGTTTTGTTCAGTGCATAGAGCTTTTAAAAATGGGATTTCTTAGGTTCTATAGAAATAAATTATTCTGTCATGTTTGCAGAATATTATTGTGATAAGTCTGTGAGCCCACAAGAGTTACCTA